GAGAATTCATACTGGAGAGAAAGCCTACAAATATGAAGAATGTGGCAAATCCTTTAACAAGTTATCAACTTTTACAGCACACAAGAGAATTCATAATGGAGAGAAACCTTACAAATGTGAGGTATGTGGCAATGTCTTTAACCATTATTCAAGCCTTACAGTACATAAGGGAATGCATACTGGAAAGAAACTCTACAAATGTGAAGAATGTGGTAAATCCTTTCACTGGTGCTCACATCTTACAGCACATAAGAGAACTCATAGTGGAGTGAAACCTTACAAGTGTGAGGTATGTGCCAAGGCGTTTAACCATTATTCAAGCCTTAGAATACATAAGAGAATCCATACTGGAGAGAGACCCTACAAATGTGAAGAATGCGGCAAATCCTTTTACCAGCGCTCACATCTTACAGCACATAAGAGAATACATAGTGGAGTGAAACCTTACAAATGTGGGGAATGTGGCAAAGCCTTTAACGGGTTCTCAAATCTTGCAGTACATAACAGAATTCATACTGGAGAGAAACCCTACAAATGTGAAGATTGTGGCAAATCCTTTCAGCGGCGCTCACATCTTACAGCACATAAGAGAATACATAGTGGAGAGAAACCTTACATATGTGAGGAATGTGGCAAAGCCTTTAGCAGGTTCTCAAATCTTACAGCACATAAAAGAATGCATACTGGAGAGAAACCCTACAAATGTGATGAATGTGGCAAATCCTTTTACAATTTATCAACTTTTTCAACACACAAGAAAAATCATAGTGGAGAGAAACCTTACAAATGTGAGGTATGTGGCAAGGCCTTTATCCATTATTCAAGCCTTACAATACATAAGAGGATGCATACTGGAGAGAAACCCTACAAATGTGAAGAATGTGACAAATCCTTTTACCGGTGCTCACATCTTACAGCACATAAGAGAACACATGGTGAAGTGAAACCTTATAAATGTGAGGAATGTGGCAAAGCCTATAACTGGTGCTCAGATCTTACATCACATAAGAGAATTCATACTGGAGAGAAACCCTACAAATGTGAAGAATGTGGCAAATCCTTTCACCGGTGCTCACATCTTACAGCACATAAGAGAACTCATAGTGGAGAGAAACCTTACAAATGTGAAGAATGTGGGAAGGCCTTTAACCAGTATTCAAGTCTTACAACACATAAGAGAATTCATACTGGAGTAAAATCCTACAAATGTGAAGAATGTGGTAAAGCCTTTAAGCAGTGCTCAAAACTTAAATTACATCAGAGAATTCATTCTGGAGAAAAACCTTACTAATGTGAGGAATGTGGCAAGGCCTTTAACCACTATTCAAGCCTTATAACATGTAAGAGAATTCATACTGGAGAGAAACTTTACAAACCTAAGCAGTGTTGCAAAGCCTTTAACTGGAGTTCAGATCTTACAACCCATAAAATCATGTTGGGGAGAAACCCTACAAATGTGAAGAATGTGACAAAGCCTTTACCTAGTGCTCACAGTGTACAGCACACAAGAGAAGTCATACTGGAGAGAAATCCTACTCATATCAAGAAGGTGGCAAAGCCTTTAAGCAGTGCTCAAAACTTAAGCGACATCAGAGAATTCACACTGGACAGAAACCCTACAAATGTGAAGACTGTGTAAAGCCTTTAAACAGGCCTCAGTACTTACAACATATAAGAGAATTCATACTGGACAGAAATTCTACGAGGGTGAAGCATGAGGCAAAGCCTTTAACTGGTCCTGAAATCTTAGACAACATTAGAGAATTCACCTTGCAGAGAATCCCTGCAAATGGCATGTATGTGGGAAGGCCTTCACCTGTCACCTTACCTTTTTTTTTTTTAATAAGAGACAGAGTCTCACTTTATTGCCCTTGGTAGAGTGCAGTGGCATCACAGCTCACAGCAACCTCCAACTCCTGGGCTTAGGCGATTCTCTTGCCTTAGCCTCCCAAGTAGCTGGGACTACAGGCGCCTTCCACAATGCCTGGCTATTTTTTGTTGCAGTTTGGCTGAGGCCAGGTTTGAACCTGCCACTTTCAGTATATGGGGCCAGCGCCCTACTCACTGAGCTACAGGCACCGCCCTGTCACCTTACCTTTAATAGGCATCAGAAAATTCATACTCCAGAGAAACAATACTAATGTGAAGAATCTGGCAAAACCTTCATATATCTTACTCAGCATCAAAAAATCCCTAGTATTGGCTTGGTGCCTATGGCTCAAGTGGCTAAGGCGCCAGCCACATACACCTAAGGTGGCAGGTTCAAATCCAGCCTGGGCTCCCCAAACAACAATGCTGGCTGCAACCGAAAAATGGCCAGGCATTGTGGCAGGTGCCTGTGTTCCCAGCTACTTGGGAGGTGGAGGCAGGAAACTCACTTGAGCTCAGGAGTTGGAGGTTGCTGTGAGCTGTGCTGCTACAGTACTCTACCCAGGGGGGACAGCTTGAGGCTCTGTCTCAAAAAAAAAAAAATCCCTAATATTGAGGAGAAACTTTAAACATTTGAGGAATGTAGCAAAATGTTTAACTGTCTTTTGAGGGTTAACATCAGAAAATATATATCACAACGAAATCATAAAAATGTAACGAATTGCAGCATATTCTTTACTTAAAGTTTAGGCTTTAGACAATGGCAGGAAATTCACATGGAAGAGAAACCCTACAAATGTAAAAATATCCAAACATATAGACTTCAGGACCCTATAGATACAATACAGTACAAATTGAAAGAATTTTATCTGAAGTACGCAACTTGGACATCATGAGGGAGTTAATACAAAGACAAACATTTTACGGGTACAATAAATGTGCACAAGTATTTAATTAAAACTTAACGCTAAGTGCCTCATGGAATTTACATAAGTAAAAACTAAAGGACATTTCCAAACTTTACATTAACTTCACATATTTACTGGAGAGAAAAATGTCAAGTCCAGATAATTTCATGTTATTTTTCAAGAGCAGTAACTTTTATGTTTTGACATGTATAGTTTGTCGTGTATTCATGGACTCTTTATATTGAAAATATTTAAAATTATTCAAAAGTTGGCAGGGTGGTAGCTCACACCAATAATCTTAGGACTGTGGGAGGTGCAGTTTTTATTGTTCTCGGAGCTAACTGGTTGATGACGCAGAGGATAGCACCTCAGATGAGATGAATAATCTGAAAAGGGAGGCTGAGGCTTGCTCTGGCACTCAGCAACTACCTATCTTTATTGATTCTCTTTTATACTCTAAAACATCCCATAAAAGTTTAAAATATCAACCAGTTAAGACAGCAAAGTAAGATCACGGAAACCACCATAAAGATAACAATTCAGGACAATTACTACTGAGCACATATACAATTGATATGAATTAAGATCATTTTACTTGGGGCTGAATCACAAGGTGCCAGGTTGTCTGTTCCATGGGTCCATTTCCTTGAACTAAGACCAGTTATTTTGTTAATGAGGAGAAAGGAGCAAAGTACAAATGCCCAGTGCCTCAACAGGTTTTTAGCCACCAGCTACAACCCAGCGTGGCCCTCTGGCAGATTCCTTTTTAAGAACATTTCTGCTGCTCAGCAGGCCCAGGCATGTTCTCAGAGTAAGGAAATTCCATCTTAGGGCCATGTTCCACGGGCAGCACATGAGGCCAAACTGCCATGTCTGAGCATGGGGAGCTGTACCCCTTCATGCAGGCAGGTCAATTGCTTGACCTTATGTATTCTAGACCAGACAAATTAAGTTCATTAGTAGAGGGTGTGACTCATTAGAGAATTGTGGAAAGGTGCATGGACGTGGGTAGCAACAAGACAGGTGGGTGTCCATACTGTTATACCCCAGACACAGGGCTTATATACTATAAGAAGTGGGTATGCACGTTAATGTGTAGGAGAATTAAAGTTGACCTTCCTGGAATGGAGGAAGATGCCAATCCACTTGCATCATTATTTCTAACTTGTGTGATAACATCAAGGGCGTTTTGACCTAACAGCAGAATTTATAGTAAAATGTGCTCTTATACAAGTAACAGTTGATAAAGTAAACATCTGAGAAGTATTTCCTGAACAGGGATTAATCGGAAGTCTTTATAGCATATTAGCATCCAAGAGGGGGATACTTTAGTCTCCACAAAGCTCCCTATCCAGTACCATGGATTTAGGTAGCACTTAGGAATTCAGGGTACAGTGGAAGCTCTCAACCACAGGGTTTGGTTTCACTAGGTTCTCAAATATAGGCTATTGAATTTGTTCAAGTCTCCATTATTCCCAAATTTATTCTGTGTCTTCCCCTCTACAGAAAAAGTTCTGGGAAATTTGAATGTCACATGCCAAAAAAAACACACTAATGACATTCTTGAAAACCATTCTGCTCATCAAGTAAAAGTAGGGGACAGGAGGTGGAAACAAGTGTTGGAGGTTGGAAGAAGTACTGGGTCAGGAGTGTGTGTGTGTTTTACTCACTGGAGTTGAAGATGCACATCATGGGTCATGACTAATCTAGTCTAACAGGAAGAGAGATGTGTTTGTCCATAGGTCAGAAGAGTGAAGAGGGGTCTGCTATTAATGAGAGGGGTGATGGCAGGTGGGTTGTTCTGCAGGGATGATGACCCAGTAGAATTAACAGGTCTCTGGCTCCAATGCAGAGCCATCCTATTGGAAGGTAGCTGTCTAACCAAGCTGCTGGGTCTATGTGAGGAGCCTTACTTTCTACCCCAAATTATGCCAACAATTCCATAGGAAGCCAAATTTCTTCTGAGGCTTCTGTCTGCACTGCATGAGGACAGGCTGTGTGCCTATATTATGGAGCAGAATGGCAGAGGAATCACATGTGCTAATTGAGCAGTTATGTTGCCCAATTTGGGGTTCCAATGGGTATACCTAGGACAGACATGTTTTTCCTGTGACACTGCCAATTACCACAGGATTCTTAGCCCATTGCCCAGTTAGTGACTTGTGCTCCAGGTGGCTTATGAGAAGAATCTAGGAGAATCATAGATTCCTAGTTGATTCTCCCTGACCCGATCCAAAATATCCCCTGTAAAGAAGGTAAACGTTTTTCTATTACTTTGAGAAGACCTGTTTTATTAGTCACAGGTAGCACCTTGGGTGAGCTTTCTGAGTGGTGGAAAAGGATGGTCTTTGCAAACTGCCTTACTTGGAATTGTGAAGACTTTGGCGTGGCCTCTGTGGCCGCAATTCCAGTGTAGCTGGTATAGACAGAAAGAACTCAATCGGGCCTCCCAGTATATGTTGGCCTCCCAGCATGGATGTACTTCCCTGGGGAACTAGACAAGCATGGAGACCTCAGGAGGTCAGACTTGGTTAGTGGTGGTGCTAAGTTTTGGAGTAGAGGCATCTTGAGCAAGACTGCCAGGTTGAGGAAGGAGCCAGCCTCACCTGGGGGCTTTGTGTAAGTTTCTTTCCTCTTGAGTCTTTTATTACTTCATCTGGAATATGTGTGGGTGATGTGCCTGCTATATAGGCCTCAGTTTTATGATGGGGTTCAAGAAAGAATAGAACTTTGAGAATGTCTGTGCCTGCCTCTTCCTCTTCTTTGCAATGGTGAGAACAATGAAGATAGTTATTTTAAACTGAGTTCTCAGAAGACATACTGTGGTATACGTAGTTCCCATCAGTTTTCAGATTAGGGATGGCCTCAAGTAGGCAGAGTTGCATGTCCAAAGTGATACATCAAGTGAGTGTTGAAACTGGAAGTGAATCTAGAATCACAGTTGACTGAAAGTGGCAATACCATTGTACCAGGTGACTTAAAACAGTTATCCAAACTCTAAGGTGAAGGGGGCTGAATTGTAATTGAGTGAGTGCAGCAAGTGTAGAACTCTTAAGTTAGCCACCATGGAGAAGAGCCTGCAGATATTCCAGAGGAGGCAGCATTGGCAGAAGAATGTGTTTTTGTGATAGGGAGGGAGCCAAGGTAGTCAGAGGACAGGGATACCTTCCATTTAGCTTGAAGACTCCATGTCAATAAAACAGTTCTTTTCTCCAATCCATCATCTCTGTTGTGACAGTGACTAAGATGCCTCCATTAGCCAGGCAGTGTGGGGCGCATGTAGTCCCAGTTACTTGAAAGGCTGAGGCAAGAGAATCACCTAAGCCCAGGAGTTGGAGGTTGCTGTGAGAGCTGTGATGCCACGGCACTCTATGGAGTGTGACAAAGGGAGACTCTCAATAAAAAAATAATAATAATAAAATAAAAAAGCCTTTATAAGTGATTTTGGAGTAAGGGCCTGGAAAAGTTGAGCTCAGTGAAAAGGGTTGAGATTGGAACCTGTAGATATTTTGACTTGTTGAAATCCCTCTAGGGATTACTTTTATAGAAGTAACTAGGAGGTGCTTGGGGGGAGGGGCTTAGAGACAGTCTGGGGAAAGAGACAAAGAGAACTGGGAAAGGCAGCTGAGGGTCTTTGGTGACTCCAAGTGGAAAATTGAGTAAATGAGTCCAGGAAACAGGGATTAATGAAATTTCAGGGACAGGCACCTGAGGATGGGTGTTCATCACCATTACCCATCAGTGACACAAGATGTCATCTCCTTCCTGGGCACATTTTTTAGTGACCTGATGCTGCTGAACACTACAACTAAGGGTTATGTGAATGTCAGTGAGCCTGTGTAGGCAGGTTAGGAACCAGGATCCTGAGGCTCTAGAGGATAGAGCCCTGCACTAAGCACTTAGATCTCAGGACTCAGAAAACTTCTCATGAAAGCTTCAGAGCTGCCCCAGTGAGCAGGGGCATC